CTCTGATCGTGCTGGCTCAGGACTCTGCAGTGGAAATTAGAGGCTCAGCTTGTTTAAAAAAATAAATCAGCATGTCTTTGAAAAAGTTGGTGCAGGTAGAACAGTTAGTGTGTATGAAATTTGGCTTTCTGGTTTCAGAGTGTGGCTTTTACAGTGTGTACAGCATTTTAAAGACAGAACTGTTAAACTAAACTATCTGACCAGCTAACAAAATGAATATATATGCAGCTTTTGGAAAAAGTTAATTTTGTTTGCTAAACAGGCCTCTCTGCTTTTAGGAAATGATACTGATTCAGCTACTTTTAATAGCCAGAGTATTAGATTTCTTTGTACCAAGGCTCAAAATGAAGTCCCAAACTTTTTGATTCAAACCAAAAAGTTCTCCAAGCAACACACAACAAAATACTACAAAGCTGATTTTGTTAGAGCTGGCCAGATGGATGTCAGGTAAGAATACACAGTTTTCTGTGCATTTAGCACCTAAAGTAATTTATAATTGTGACAGGGAAGTGTCTGAAGGTGATGCCTTTGGCATGTATTAATTGCTTTGGGGTTGCACAGTAGTTTTCAGTAGGGATCATTGATGCATTCCAAAACACACATTCTTTAGGCTCAGGTGCTTTTTCTTTTTTCCCTGCACTTCTGAATGTGACTGTTTTTCAAAGTGGAGCAAGGTACTTTATCCTGTTTTTTGTAATAACAGTAAGGGTTTAAAGTCTGTAGTTTTTCTCACTTTAAAAAATAAGCCAGGCCATAATTTTAATCAGTACTCAAGGGAAAAAGACTTGAATGAAAAAATAATGTACATAATGAGCAGAGTAATCCTTACATCCGATCTGAAGCAGAAATTTAATTTGTTTTAGGAAAGCTATAAACCTTTTGGAATTGAAGCCCAAGCATGTAGAGTTGAAAGTGTTCTGCTCTGTCAGTAAATTAATGCATAAGAAAATGAAATAGAGAGGTGCCTTGGATGCAGGTGCTTTGCATCTGTGGCATAAAGTTAATCTAGCAGGGGGCTCTCATCATGGTCAGGGGCTGGAACACATGGGAATAGAGAGCTGGGTTTGTTCAGTTGTAGGAGGATTAAGCTTAAGGGAGGCCATACTGCTGTCTTCAGCTACCTTTTGGGAGTAAATAGAGAAAGTGGAGTCAGCTTCATGCATAGCTGGATGCTGAAAAACCACAGATGTGAGTTGGAACATGGGAAATTATCTTCAGATAGGAATTTTAAATTTTCTTATTTTACCATGAGTGTAGTCAAATACTGAAATGGGTTCTGAGAGGTTGTGGTATTGTTCATTTTTGTAGGTGCTTAAAATTTGACTGGGTGAAGCTCTTAGGTAGTTAAGAGCCTTCAGGGGAGGCTGAGGTAGAGGCTCCTCCCAAAGTGCTAGCTAGGAAATGAGGGGCAGCTTGGGGAAAGCTGGTAAGCAAGTCCTAGAGGGAAATTAGCAGGGTGAAATCCTGAGATGATGCTGTTGGTAACTTGTGTCTTTCAGGAGCAGTGCTTTCTGTCTGGTGTATGGAATGGCTTTGTTCCTTAAAGAAGGGAGGATTTGCCCTTAGGGCTGTGTCCCTGCCTGGTGGGCAGCACACTCTGAGCAGGGCTAAAGGGGTGCTCTGTCTCTGGGGGGCTCAGCCCCTCGGTCACCCCTCTGTCACTGCTCCTCCCCTCTTCCCATTGGAGAGGGTATTTTTCATCAAGATGAAAGAGATGAGATAAACTAAAATTAGCATCAGAGTTATTAGAGACGTTAAGACATTACTAATGAGTTCTAATTTAATCTCTGCACCCAGGCATGTATAGCAGTGAAACCTTTTATTAGGTGTCTATAATTGTGTTTAAAGTGATACCCTGAGGCTGATCCTGGAGCGAATGAATTTGCCAGGCTGCGTGCATGACAGCACTGACCTGACAGTCCTGTGAGGAGAGTGGGGTTTGCTCCTTGCTGGGCCTTCAGTGCTCTGTGTTTTACATCAGGCTCCTGAACTGTCAGGGGCTTAGTGCTGTTTCTATTTAAGAGTGCCTTCTGTGTCATTTTGGCTCTGGACCAGCAAATCCCAGTCCTCAGGCTCCTGGAGCATTCATCAGGAGAGATAGCTGGGTGGGAAAGCCCAGGAGTGCAGTTCCAGCTGGAGTATCAATATCCTTGAAGCTTTCTGGAGGAGAAGCAGGTTCCTGTGTGCCTTGTTCAGAGGGCAGTGCCAGGGGCAGCTCTGGTAGCCACAGGTTGCCTCCTAGCCAGGGCCAGCACAGAGTCAGCACAGAGCACTGGCCATTTCAAACCTTTCTTGATACAGGTCTGAGCTTTGCAAAGCTCCATCCAACAAAACAGCAGAGGGCTGATGTGGGAAACGACTGCTCACTTTGTAAAATTTTATTAAACTTTAACAAAAACTACAATAGAGGACTAAATAAGGAAAAATTACACCACTAGGAGCCCCCCCCATGGCTACTAGCCACATGGCTCATGTACAAAATGGATGCTCTGCCCTTTATCTCCTTAGTCCCTCTTAAAGTTTTGTTAGTCAGCTCTTTCTCTGCCATCCATTGGTGGAGATTATTGACTGGGGGTCAGGTGTTGTTATGTTGCCCTTCCTGGTACCTTCCAGCCTCCTCTAAATGTCTTGGCTATTACAAGGGGGGAAAGAGGACTATGGAATGACGTATTACAATAACATTACTATAAATCTACATAATATTTCTCTCTTAATTGTGAAAGCCAACTATTGCATTGCTAGCTGTAACAGAGCTGTAAGGAGAAATGTTCTGGGTATCAGCATCTCAGCCCTGCAGATGCTGAGTGATGTTTCCAGCCCCTCTGCTCAGACTCCTCTTGCTGAATGACTGAGTTGCTCTGCAGTCTCTATTTTAATTTCACTGGTGCTTTGCTGGTGCCAGCTCAGAGCAGAGGTCCTTCCCTGACCCTCAGCTCCGTGTGACAGGACAAACGTGTTCAGGGGGTGAAGTGGATCAGGGAACCCATCCAAGTTAAAATTAACCTGTCCAAGAAGCTAATTCCAACCTGGGCCCAGCGTGCCCAGCCAGTGACGAGCACAGCCCTCCTGCTGCTGCTTCTGGCAGGGCCTTCAGCTTCACACTGTTCCTTGTTTCCCATTTTTGAGATTAGACTGAAGTACGGAGCAAATCCACCTCCAAAATGGTACCTGGCTCAGCTCAGTCTGTGACAACTTTGATCTTCGTTTGCAAACTTATATAAAAATGTAGTGAATTGAAATATTTTGCTTTGGTCTTGACCTTCTTAGACCTTTGCTTTGGTCTTGACCATAAATTAGCTGCACTTTCAAATAAGAATGGCTATAAACTGGAAGCAACATTTTCAAGTCAGATGAGATGTTTCAGCTAACTCGGTGTTGTTACTTTTTTTCCCCTGTTGAGGGAGATTTATTGAAGCTTCTTTGTGCAGTTTGGTCTCAGCAAGTTGGTGACCTGGAGCTGGCTCTGAGCAGGACCTGGTCCTTTGAGGATGTCTTCTGATTTTTCGGAGTGCATCCTCTTGTTTGATCACTGTCACTTATGCATTGCTGTGCATTAAGCTGCCAGGCCAGGTGCGAGGGGCAGTGCAGGTGATGGCTCTTTAATATTTCCATGCCAGGGCCTGGTCTGGGTTCTCTGCAGTGGCCTGGGTGAGAAACGCTCGGGAGGAACTGTGGCTCTTTGGAGAATGGGGGTGGTTTTCATCCAGGCCTGTTGGTGCTGTGTGGCAGGGGTTGCCAGTGGTGTTTGCAGAGGCTGAGAACAGAGAACCCCTTGGGCACAGAGAGGGCAGTGTGGGCACACACCAGCTCCAGTTACAGTGGCCCACACAGCAATTGTGGGACCTGTGGGCTCCTGGTGTTCTGGCAAAGGCTGTGTGCTTCCCAGGGCCTGAGGGATGGGAGGGAGGTGGACACTGCCCCTTTCCCTCAGGACCTCTGTTTCTGCCTTGAGGTGGAGGGAAGGAAGCCCCTGACACCCTGTCACACTTAATGCTGTGTGACTCTTTGGGCTCTGCTATTTATGTGGCTTGCTTGCTTAACAGTCTCTTGCTTTCCCTGCCCACCCCTTCTAAAAATGTGTATTTGTGGAGCTTTAGAAAATACCTGCAGGCTGTACCAGATCCTTATTGGAACCTGCAAATCCCATGGTGTAGAACAAACAGACCCTGAGTGTGTCCATCACCACTCTGTGATCTAGGTTTCCTTACCAAGTTTCCTTGATAAGGAAGTTTCCTTGGTAGGAGGAAACTTCCTTGGAAGTTTCCTTACTGAAACACATACAAAGATGGAATGACTAAAAAAATATAAAAACATTCTACAAGAATGAAGTTTTTAATCAGCTTTCAACTTTCTCTCTAGTTGCAAGGTGAGAGTGATTGCAGTGCTTTTAAATGTTTGTTTTTTTGGTGGTTTTTTTTTTTTTTTTTTTTTTTTTTTTTTTTTTTTTTTTTTTTTTTTTTTTTTTTTTTTTTTTNTTTTTTTTTTTTTTTTTTTTTTTTTTTTTTTTTTTTTTTTTTTTTTGTGAGCTGCCTAGGAGCCCAGAGATTTTTTAAGAAGGTTCCCCTAGTGTAAGAGGTGAGTAGGTGATTCCTTGAGGCACACCAGGGGTGAGTACTGGATCCTAGTTTGAGGCAAGGTTATCACTCACATGTTCAAGTTTTGATAGCTTTAGTGCAAGGTGTATGGTGGAAATACTCCCCCTTTGGTGCATCTTCATGACTGTGATTCTTTTGTGCTCCTGATTGTGTTCAGGTGAGTTCTGTGCCCAGTGTTCTGAACAGTGTCAAATAACTTATCAGCTGATAATGTCATGCTACTCAAATGAAATAATCACAACTTTGTGTCCTTCTGACAACAGCTGAGTTACACAGTGTCATTCCTTGTGGGTTTTGTCTTGTTTCAAAATTTAAAATGTAGTGTTTCTGACGTTAAGATGCATTGCTTTTATGGTGTAGGTTCAGGGGTTTTCTAATTTTTGTGTTTTTCTTGTTTGTTTTAAGAGTCAGATTTACAGATCTGTCAACACAGGGCACCAACATGTTGCACCAAAAAGATGGAAGAAAGCTACCAGGCAGCTGTTCGAAGGGAGAGGACTCAGAGCATCCAGGCACTGAACTTTGAGCTGAAGTACATGATTGTTGGTCACATCACAGCTTTTCAAGGTAGGAAATTTTGAATAGTTTATAACAGTATCCTCTGCAACCTAAAGGAAAGCTGTTGTCTTTACTTTTCACTCCTCTTGCATTGCATGCTGTTGTCACTGCCTTATGGTTTTTGCTTCCCAGTTATTTGATAGTTGTGCTTTTGGATAAAGGTGATGGCACTTAATCTTGCCTGGTATGTTAAGCATCTTCCTAAATCTAATTAGGAATAGATTTAAGCTGAGACCTTGTTTCTGGGGTTAGTGTGGATTTTTAAAGGCATTTTCAAGTGTCTTTTCAGTGCCTGCTAGTCATGCTTTTTGATACTCTCTTGTGTTGCCAAACCATTTACAGGCATAGATTAATAAACGAAGATGCATTTGTTTGTTGATGCTGAAAAATAAATGCTGTAACTGATGTGTCAAATCGGAATACATCTCTTGCTCCATGACAAAATGCAAGAGTACCTTGTTCTATCAGACTATTTAGGTCCTTCATACAGGGGGTTATTGTACTGCTACAGGGAGGAAAATGCTTGGGTAGCACTGTGCACTGTAGTGTTGATTACTGGAGGCTTTTCTCTAGAAGGGCATTTATTTAAACATAGGCTGTGAACTTTAAACCTATGGTAGTTGAGTGATTAAATCAGTCAATGAGTGGTGAATCCAGCTTACTGACCTCTGTGGGCCTAATTATATGCTTAATTTTAACTCTGCTTTGCCGTGTTCAGTGCTGAGCACCCTCATGGAATGGGCTCTGAAACGAAGCCAGTAGTTATTAAAATACCAAGTGTTGAGGCCTGGGTGGTTAAGATCTATTGTTAGAAGGCAGGTTTTATCAGTAGTATCTTTTTTTTGTCTGGTTTTTCCCATTTGAGTGAAAATACTATAAATAAAAGATGTGACTGACAGCTAATAAGAGACAGCATATTATCAAAAATTGACAATAAGTGATGGTGGAAGTCTGAAAGAGACATGAAGGGACAAGAGAAATATTTTCTTCTGCTTTTGGTTTTTTTTATATCTTTTCTTTTTTACCCATGAGTGAGAAATGGCTTTTTGGTTTATTTTACAATTAATTTTTGAAAATGTTTGATATCCCTTTTCATTAAAAAATTGTCTCGGGTGGCACTTCAGAGGAGCACTGTAGTGAAAGAGTGCCTGTTGGCATTGTTAAATGTTGGTTATTCATTCAAGCAATCTTTCAGTATTATGATTGAATAAAGGTAAGGTCAGAATAGATTAACCTACCAGCCCCTTTAGGTCAAGCCAGAGGCTTTATTGTCCATTGCAGATGAAGCCTTTTGATGGAATGAAAGCAGTAGTTAGACATTTCACACAGTTTAAATTTACAAGCATTTTCTGGAAGTGGGTAAATAGGTTGTTTGTTGTGATTTGCTGTGGCTGGCCTTCTGTCTACATTAGGTGGGAACACTTGAAAAATGTAACTTTGCTGGCTTGCTCTGGGAGCTGCTTTTGTGCTTTGGTTTTGTCCCAGGTGTCAGGGAAAAGCCTCTCTCTTTATCTTGTGCTGGATAAACATTCTGTTGCTAAGAGTGGTGCTGTGTAAGACATTTACTGAGAGAGAAGATTTTGCACTGAATTAACTCTGTCCTTTTGCTCGGTTTTCACTTGTTGCTGTTTTGAATGATAAAGTGAGTGTGCCAACAGCACATTTTACAGCCTGAGAAAAGGAAACCCTCATTTTTAGAAGCTTTCAGATGCTTTTTAGATTTCATGTTTTTTGCAGCAGGGGAAACCGACTCAGACTTACTGAAAAATAGCACTTTATTCGTTTGTATGGAGTGGTGTTTACTTGTACAATTTTCATGCACAATTTACTTTTATATATATACACTTTAGTACTGTTAGTTTAGTCAAAGCAAAGCAGTAGCTAGACTTGCTGCCTGCCTCTGAGTAAAGGAAATCTAAGCTGCTTTTTATGCACTCTAAGCAGACAATACTGTTAATATTACATCAATGCTGATGAAATGATTTTCAAGATTACTGTGGTGTAAGAGATGGATTTTCAGTAGTCCATCACTGATAACACAGTGGTGACAGTTAAATTTTATTGGGAAAAAGAGAAAACTTTTTTGGGAGACTCCCAAAGAGAATGTTGGGGATTTTCTTTAAGATATAATCTCCTTATATTCTTTAAAAGAAGTCAAAAGACAGTTCTGGGGACATTTAAGTGCCACAAGTATTAATAATAAGGAGCTTTCTCATGTGAATAGGAGTTTGATATGAATTTGGTTAAATATTCCCTCTACACTGCCTTGGCACTGCAGTTGGCTGTGGGTATTTTGGAGTTGAAGAGATACTGTTTTGGGTTTTCTTCTTTAAAGTGAAAATGTTGTTTAAGTAGCTTTGTCCACAGCTGAAATAAGACAATTTTCACAGATGATGGATTTGGTTGTGCAAAATAATTAATCTGTAAGGCCTGATTAAATATATCACAGCTGTGGGCAGGCTTGTTGTATTTGGGCTAGTGCCTAATCCATTTACATGGACAATTTCAGTACTAAGGTTGTCCCACTGTTTTTTCCCCTTTAAAATTTTCAGTATTTCCAAGTGTTTTTTGCTGAAACACTTCACTAAATCAAGCTCCTGCATGGATGGGTTTTGGTTGAATGCCTCTCTCAAGTGCTCGTGGCACTGATCTGAGTAGGAGGAGCCCCACTGGCACCAACTTCAGTGAAAAATGCCCTCCCCACGGGAAACAGGACAGGGGCAGGAATGGAATGGCCAGCTGGCTGCTTGGGAGGCACAGCATCAGAATCAGCTCCTGCAAAACCATGCAGTGACACAAAATCTGGGGGTCTGACAGGTTGAATGCAAGCAGGGCCCGTGGGAGGGTTTCATGGAAAGCTGATGCATTTGCTTTCTCTTCATGTTCTGGTCCATGGTGTAGCCTCAAGGTCCTAAGCATGGTTTTAGTCCCTTGACAGATGTGTGACTGCTCCAAATGGAATCACAGGCAAGGAGGAGGAAGAGCATTAGATGAGTAAGTGAGTCAGGCTGTAATAGGAGCAGTGTAAGAGAGGAGAATGTGCGTGTTGTGGTGATCCTCCCTGTCAGCCTCTGGCTCTCCACAGCTGGCTTTCTTGTGGATGCATTTTGGAGCAGGTCACTTGGTCCCACCCAAAGATGTGCCTGCCTGTCTTTGCTCATGTGGCTACAGCCTGAAATGCCCAGCAGAACTATTTAAATGAATGATGAAACAGGACACTTTCATTTTGTATCTCACTTTTCCCTTTGGTAACCCAAAGATTCTCTTCTGAACTTACTGTTTCCTTTGTCACAGTGGTTGTTTTAGGCTTGCATGTAAACAAATGTATTGTTTGAGATAGATGTCTTTGTGGTGATGGTACCTGTTATTTGGCAGTCTTCCATCCTTGCCCCAATTTCCTCATGCAGTCCCTGCACTCTTTAGGGACACTTCCAATCGTGGCAATTGCTTCATTGTTCAGAGTAGTGTGGGTGTGCAGGCTGAAAGTTGCTGTCAGAAGAGGCATGAATAGTCTGACAGGAAAGCTTTGTTGTGGTCAGACAGCAGAGGGAACCTGGCCTCCCTCTTCTGTGTTTTATGGAGTGCTAACAGGTGCCACATAAGGACCCACAGACAGCTTGGCTCTGCTCCTGTCATCATATGCTGAGGCTAATTTGTGGTAATGAGAATCCAAGCACTGATAATTTATTTGTTCTGCCGATGGTCTCTGCACAGAGGCAGAACAAGATACTTTTAAACCTACATCACTTTTCAGTCACCAAATTAGCAGCTGTCAGAGATATGGTGAAAAACTTTGAGTTCAACAGTTTAAAAGATTTCCTGTTCTCTGCACTTGTATTTACAGTAGGCAATAAGAATTGTTCACTTAGCCTCTGAAGAGAAGCTTCCATGAACAAAGCTTGTTGTTCATAAAAAACTAATTTGTCTTGCTTTTTGAAATAACATACATTTGACCTTGAGGGTCAGGTGCTGGGACCTGTTCCAGTGTTCTCCCAGCTATAGGAGGGAAGATGAGCTTTGGAGCTCTGTTCTTCTCACTCCTAACCCACAGGGCTTGGAAAGCTATGCTCACCTTCTGCTTTCTATGGAATGGGAAGATGCTGGTTGGGAAAGCACCTTGCTGCAGTTTCTAACAGCTGCAGTTGCCCTGACATTGCAGTTCATGCACGTTGGTTTGCCCTGTTGCCATCTGATCCAAGCAGGCAGCTTGGGAAGGGCAAGAATGATGGAAAGGGCAGCTTGTTGTAGCAGGCATGGAGTCCAGGACTTCTGATTGTCAGTAAAATGCCTCAAAGTTAATGCCTAGTTTATCCATAAAGTCCTTAAGCACAAAGATTTTCCTCTGAAAGCCTCCATGGGGATTGGGGATGACTGGATGGTTTCAGGGGATCTTGGGATGGATGACACCAGTGAGCCTATTAATCAACTGATCTGAACTCTCCCAGAAAGGAATAATACACTACACAGCACTCAGGGCTTTGTGGAGTCAAAAACGTTTTCAGTTTTCATTTGGCTCTGTTGCAGTGTTGGTGGTACTTATTTTTACGGAATTTAGGACTATCAGCTTTAAATAGAGGTGTCTGGTTAATGGTGTTGAAGTGCAGTGACAAAACAAAGACTTGGCTGTAGAAGTGCACTCTGGTTTGAAGTAAATTACTACATGAAGTGTAGCCACAATGCTGGAGATGGATGCAGTCCAGAATCAATGAGCTATTTAAAAAAAGAGCCAACCATCACCAGCAGAAACCTGCCAAAAATCACCACCAGTGCTTCTGGTTCCTGTTATTTACTGCTGGATTATAGAAATTCAGAAGTGATGTTTTCTAAATAGGTTTTTGTAGTCCTGTACTGCTTGGTCATTTACTCAGACAAGTTGTTCCCCACCCTTTCCCACTTGTGTTGTACTCTGCTGACCTTTGAGCTGAAAGTTACAGTCTCACAGCAGTGAGTTCTGCAGTCTTTCATTAGCAAGGCACAGAATGTCCAGTTACAAAATACTGCCCGAACCT